ACCACCCACCGCCAACTCTGGAGCTACTCTTTTACCAACGAATAGTGGGATTGACCGTCACATTATAACGCCCACATGGTTGAAAGAGCGAGCGTGTTTAGTGGGATGGGGATTCGAACCCGCAGATTGCTAGTCGAGCGCATGAACCACCTGGCCGCTTCTTATCAAAATATATTTCTTATATATAAAACACAGCTTGAGATTTATTTAAAATATCTGAAATACGCGATCATTGCAAAAAAGCTAATTAATAAAATGCAATTATCACAGTCAAAGAGACAAATCCCTAAAGCTGTTGATCTTTCAAGAACATTAAGGTTTTTGAATAAAAAAAAATGTTGCTATTGCAGCATGCAAAGAAATGTATCTAAATAAAACTTTTAATTTTAGGTATAAACAAATAAATATAATATTTAATAATGTTATATATGCATCATTATACAAAAGTTATTTCACGAATGTATTTTAGTATTATTCGTTTTAAGTACAAAACGTGAGCCTTAAAACCTTAAAGCTTAAAATAGATTTACCAGAGTTGTTTGATTTTACACCATTGTAACTGAATAAATAATAACATTCAAACGATAATTAACATCCTCACACACTCTGCTATAAAATAGAATAACAAACTGCGTTATGTATCTAATTTCAGAGTCCAAAACATGGTAGTAAGGTCCAAAGTACGAGCCGAAAACTCTTTACTTAAAGATCTCCTAGACTTAAAACTGCGTCCTATAAGAAAGGAATATTGCGCTGCATCATGTATTTGTTAACGTATTCGCCATACCAATGTGCTTGTAAATGTCGGAGGACGAATAAAGTAAGAACATTTGTGCAACTTACGAGTTACTGCCAGCGATGATGATATCAGAACTCCGATAGCAACGCAGAAGAACATCGCTGTAGCTCTTATCTTCCTTGGCAGTTGTAGAAAATCCAGTACAAACCTTAAAAAATTAATAATAACTATATGTCGCTACTTTACAAAATTGAAAACATTTGCATTGTATATACAAAAATACACACTATTATCTACACTTACGAAATAAGTTTACTAGATTTTCTATTAATTGCACGCTTTTACACTTTTAAAGCAATTTTACAAACACTTTAATGAAATATGAGTTTTCTTCCAGAAAATAATATTTGGCAGAAATGTTTTTATTTCATTTAGAATATTATTTCATTTTTACAGTAGCGACGAAAGTTAACATAGAGAATAGTCAATCTCAAATTGTTTCATCAAAGTATATCTGGCCGGACCTACTGGGACTACTGCCGAAAAAGTCGATAACAGCAAGTGTATCCAACTGATAAATTAGTGTATTGTAACAATTATAAGTAATAATGGTACATTAAATTAGCTATCGTTCATTAGTAAGGTATTTTTTAGTTCTATGTTAGCTGGTTTTAATCAAACATTAACAATAATTTACAAGTTACACAACTTTTTCAGATTCCTAATGTTCAAGTAATTTACACATTCTCACTCATTGAATCGTAGCCCTTTACTTTATAAAATTCTTTGTGTTTACAACAAAATGATTTTGCATCCTTCCACCAGAGAAAAAAAAATTGACATCTAGCGAAGGAAATGTTATTAACTAAAAATGTTCTTTATTCTATTTTACAATACATAACAGTTATGTAGAATAATTATATTTCAGAAGAAATTCTTACAAGATGAATCACCGAGTTTTTTCTGAATAAATTTCAAAATGGGCGTACTTGGTTTATTTTATTTTCAATAATTGTGTTTCATCAAAAGCTGTCATTCTTTTCAATAAAGATGTTTTTATAAATCTAAAATAAAAAACGTAAGTGTCATTTAAAACTAATAAGAAGTGAAATTCTAATAAAACAGTAATTTCCAATCAAAGACTAAAACACAAATAAAAAAATGGTATTAAGGTAACCAGTAAAAAAAGCAGGATCCAAACAAAAGCTATAAAGTTGTTTGCTTGTTTTAGCGCAAAGTTACGCAATAGGCTATCTGCGCTGTGTCAACCGCGAGGAATCGAACGCTAGATTTTAATGGTGTAAGTTCATAAACGTACCGCAGACTCACTAAGGAACGAATAACCGAAAACTTGTCAGCAATCAGGATGCCAATAATGTTGTGTAGATCAGTTGCACCACTGGTTGAAATTCGTCTCGTTAAGATGGTTAACATCATTACTGTTAACAAAATGTCGATTTTCTCCGTTAAGATAGTTAACATCATTACTGTTAACAAAATGTCGATTTTGGCCAGCCAAAACAGATTTTTACAAGTTTGTCATGTGATATTTCATTCCTTAGAGCAACATTTGAATTTACTACACATTTTGAGAATAGCACACCTGTCTCTACCCTTAAATCTTTATACTAATTTGGACCTTTCTGAACAATCACATTGTCAACTATCAACGCATGACTGTATTCTGGTGCAGTTAATTTTCACATAATAAAGGGGTGACATTCCTATAGTATTTTCCTTTTATATTCGTCATCCCTCACAGTTTCCATAATTATTTCTAATACTGTATATAAGTATATACACAATTCTAAGATGAATATAAATCAGCCTTATATAAAATTCTGTGTTAACATGTTGATCTATATTTTTTTCTAGCCACGACTTTTAAGTTGATAAAATAGATCAAAGCTGAATTTCTCTAAGTGGATAATTTACCAATAAATCATTTAGATGCATATGATTAATATTCACTGATTACTTATCACAAAAATAAAGCCTGAAGATATGATTGTTTTTATGTTATTATTTAAACGTTAACGCCAATCTATACTTAGTCTCTGCCCCCCCCCCCAGTAGCACAGCGGAATGCCTGCGGACTTACAACGTTATAAAAAGGTTTTCTATACCCGTAGTTGGCAGAACACAGATAGCCCATTGTAGAATTTAAGTCAGGAAATGATGGTTACTCCCTTCCAGCTTCTACCCCCCAGTGGCACAGCGGTTTGTCTGCGGATTTACAACTCTAGAAACCGGGTTTCGATACTCGTTGTGGGCAGAGCACAGATAGCCCATTGTGCAGCTTTGTGCTTAACTTCAAACAAAACAAAAACCAACTTGCACCTGACATTACATAAAAAACTTGCGTGATTCGGCACATTTCACTCGAAATAAGCTTTTTGGGAGTTTTTATTCAAGTGTCAGTTTATTCGTATTTACGAACTTTTGGGTTTTTCGCTTTCTTTTGTTTTATGAATGTGTTTGTTCTGCGACCACATTCCCTTAAGTAATTAGCTGTGCTGACTCTGAAATCTCACACTCTCAGATAAAACAAAAACTAAGCACTGTGCTTGTCTACCACAAAACTCTAACAAAACTAATAGTCAAGCTTACAGTCCTCAGAGAAAATTAGATGATCCGCAGAGCTGTGTTGAAGCTTCTAAGTACTAGGGATACTCTTAAAAAGAGAGCATGCTTAAAACCCAACAATATATATATATATATATATATATATATACACATAACTACAACAGACTAAATGAATAACCAACAATAAAGTGAGGATTCTACTCAGTAAATCAGTGAAGAGCAATAAATAAATTTGAAGTATAAATATATTCTGATATTCAATTAACGAAGTTTGACGCATATGAGGGAGGTCATCAGCAGATTATTGTTCCTTGGTTTGTTTGTTGTTTTTAGCGCAAAGCTACACAATAAACTACCTGTGCTCTGTCCACCACTGGAAATCAAACCCCGAAGTTTAGCATTGTAAGCCCGTAAACTTTCCGATGACCCAATGGTGGACCATCAGCAGGTTATACTCGATTACAATTTAAAATGTTTATGTGACTCAAATTACAACAATGCTCTCTCAAGATAAAAATTTACAAACACTTTTAATGGGTAGCGTCAGTTTGATTTTTTAAAATAATTAAACAATAATGAAAATTATAACGAGAGTTGATTACTCTTTGAAGTTCAATAAATAAAAATATAGTTTTCGGATATTTGTTTAATGAATATTTTACGATTTTGATTAGCAGAGCTTCTGCTATTTTCCCTTCTTTTCTGATAAGTTTTCTGCGTAAGAATGATTACAGTAATTGCAATAATTTTATAATTTTTTTATTTGTTTTTTTTTCAATAGTATATTTTTTAATAACATTCTTGGTCTTTGTTATCATTTTTATATAACTAAAAACTGTTGATACCAAGTTTTTAAGAGTCATTGCCATAAATTCATGGGTCTTTCAGTGACGTGCTCAACGGAAGGAACAATGCTGATAATAATGTTCTTATTTTGTGGTTGTTTATTGTTTTGACGTTGGATACTTTTTTATTTTTGCTTCGTCATTTATTTTTATTATTCTTTCTGAATAATAGTTTTTTTGAGTGAAGATTTTATACGTACTTTCCAGTTCATCATTTAATTTGCTGGAGAAATAAATGTTAAGTTGAATTTGAACAAAGCCCTCTAAGGTCCTAACTTTTGTTGTAAAGAGTGTTCAGATTTCAGGTTAAGTTATCGTTATGCTTGGAATCCTTCGTTTGGTTTGTTTTTTGTTAAGTACAAAGCTGCATAATAGGCTATCTGCGCTCTGCCTTCCACGGAAGAAAGTTTCCAAGTTTATTTTTATTTTCTGTTGTTATTTGATTGTCGGAATGATGATTGTTGATATGGCTTAGGGAAAAATATTTTTCATTGTCTGAGTTGAAAGAAAAGAACAAATACTTGTAAAAAGATGAAAACTAAAACCATCTCTATATGAAAAACAAGTGAACAGAATACCGAATGTTGAATATATTACGAAAAAAACAACAATTATCTGTCAAGAACTAATATATTGGTTACAAAGTTATAGAAACAAAACCCATACAACTAAATTGACTTTCCAATCGTGCATAAAACACATTTAAAACGTGAATCATAATGTCAATCTATTCAGCTTTCCATAGCAACTTGGGAAATTGTCTTTAACTTTGGTCATCTTTCCATAATTATAATAATTTGACAATACTACCAAGAGTATTTCTCATTTTCTTCAGTCCCTAAAAAGTTAGACGAAAAACAAAAATGATAAGTTTTATGTGCAAAATTTATAAAATCCTTAGGGAAGTATAGAAGCTAATAATAAATATAACTGTCCAAGACCAAAAATACAGGATTAATGCATCTAAAGGAAATGTAATAGCTGATTCTGACCTCAACAAAAAGTTCTATTTTCAGGTTAACAAAGAATTTTATTGTCATTTCATTAGCCTTTATATGGGTGGAAGTATATCAAGTTTGTTACCCAATGTTCTTGACTCAATATGAAAAAAAAAGTATTTTCTAATGCAATATAAAATCTCGTACATTGGATGAACTATGTAGAATATGAGTTTTCTTTCGCTTTAATTCAGACATGAAAAAAGAATGATTCCTAAACAGTATCATCAACCTTCACTTCACCCTTGAAAAAAAATCTGTCCATCGACTGTTCAAATGTTTACGTCATTGGAATACCAACAGGATTTGATATGTACGCTAATACGTAAGAAACACAATTATAACTATACCTCTCTTAGAAACGCGGGCACCATGTACAAAAAATTAGGAACTTTAATTAAAAATGTTTATTCAAACTCATTATAAAATTTGGTTAATAAAATAATTAATAAAACGAAAAAACAAGATATTCAACGTAAAAAACCAATAAATAATCACAACTTCTTTCAGTAAAAATCTCAACAATGTATGAAAACGACTCTTAAAGACAACCAGCATCGGTTTTAATTATTCGGAAAACAGGGTTAAAAGTCGAAATATTATTAAAAATTATTCTATACCGAAAAACAAAACAAAGAAGTAATTCACGTAATTATTCTTGTGTAGGTAACACGGGGAGTGACATGAACACCTCAAACAGCCCCAGTATGTTTATCAACACCTCGGAGAAACTAAACTTGTGATATTTGAGAACAGCTTTGAAATTATAGAGAGAGAAA